GGATCCATGGGATTGGGAGTGGTGAGAAGTGCTCAGATTCTGGGGGTTTCAAAGGTAGGATTTTAAGACTTACGGGACGTGGAATGTGAGAACAAGTGAGATGCCAGGATTGACTCTGAGGGGCTGGGACCTCAGGGTGGACCTAGCAGGCTGTGGGCTAGCAGCTCCATTCACCCTCCCGCTGCTGCAGTCTGGGGTCCACCTCACCTTCCCAGGATTGCCTCCACCTCCTTGGAACTCTTGGTTTTGATGCCAGCTGAACCATTTCTATTTTATTCTTTAGGACTCTATGATGTCCATGATTCTTGATTTAATACATTATTTTTCAGTCATCACTTTTATGTCCATGGTCTTATTTCAAAAGTCTGGGACTTCACCCTCTGCCCTTCACAGATGCTCCTTGAGTAATGTGACTTCATCTATGACCATAGCTTCAATAGCTGCCTGATGAGTGTCAAACATTCAGCTTCAACCTACCCCACTCAGCTACAAATCAGCTTCTTGCATACTCCCCATGGATGGCCCAGAGGCACCCCAAACTCCATATAGCTAAAACTGAGCATACCCCTTTGCATTGTCTATTCCAGCAGATGGCACTATTTGCATCAACATACCACAATCATGCTAGCTAGATTCTTCCCGCGTCCTCATCCCTACATCTAGCTAGTCACAAAGATCTGTCAACTCCATTTCTGAAAACATCTCAAATTGGATCTCCTTTTCCTTCTGTCATGTCTATGGTCCAGGTCTCATTACTCATATGGACTTATGCAGCAATGTCTAAATCGGTCATTTCTGATTAAACTTTTTTCTTTGCCCCAGAGTAATATTTTTGAAATGAAAAGCATTCTATTTAAAAATAATCCAGATTCCCTATCACCAGCTAGCTGCCCTAAGCCTGTAAAGTGCTAAAATATCACTCGAATAGGTATAAATCTACTCACTTCTGTGTCATTTATAGCCTTATAAGCAGGCAGCCAGATTAAAGAGATGTAAACTGGCCCCCCTCTCCCTGGGGCACCATTCCAAGCAGAGTTGCTAAAACTGCTCCTTCCCAGCCACAAGCCAGCCTCACCAGTATCAGACTAGTCCTTCCTCCAGCAGAACCGCAGGGCTAAGCCTGCCGATTACCTGTCTACCAGATGTTAAAGCTTCCCCCTTTCAGCTGTAACTATCTTAATTCCCATGAACTCTCTCCTACTCCGATTCTGATCCAATATTGCTCCCTTCCCAAACCTCCCACCTCTGAAAGCCAGTCACCAGCCTATTCTGAATATTCCTTCACCTTCTTTTTCTACCTCTAACAGACTCACCCCTAGGACACTACTTCCCTCGGAGCCCTTTCAGTGATGTCTTTTGTGGGGAGCCGATATAGGGTTAAGCCTCGGACTGACCTGTTGGCAAAGTCACAAACAAGTCCCAGCTTAGAGGGCACATTCCTCTTAAGCATAATTAGGCTTGACCTTATGACGCTCCCTAGATCTTATCTGGGAAGCTAATGGGCTGAGGGAAGTGCAGCAAGAGCAAGAACAAAAACAAGTGAAACTCACAAAAAAAGTGTAAACAAATGAAACTCACAAGAACAGTATAACTTTGGTAACCACTACCTTGTTTACCTCTGACTATAAAATAAAGGCTCAGTTTGCCTCAGGATCTTTCTCTGTGGCCTCAGCCAGGCACAGGAAGTTCCACGGAGACTAAAGAGAGCTAGAGAGTTCTGAACACTGTCTCCGTGTAAAACATTCTTCGCCGACTCCATCCACACCTTTGGGAACCCCTGGACCGCTGGGGCTGGACCCTGGCAGTCTTTTTCTTCTTTTAACCCATGTACCATGATGCCTGGTGGTGGGCTAAGTCTCCTGTCACACCATTGCCACTTCTACACCATTTTCCTCCCTCATAAGGCCTCAACGCCAACTTCTTTGAAGCCCGCACCTTCAGATTATATCCATTATCCAGCAGCATTCCTTGAAGATTTTCATTCCAGGGTCACTGTCATGGTCTTCTCCATGGTACTTTTACCATCACTTGTAGCCATCTCATTGCCCAGAGAGGATTCTTTGAACACCATTGTCTATTTCTGATCTTTCCACTTCCAGCAGTGTCTCTTAGTCTTCCGCTCACATGACCATAACCTACATGTCATCAGTAACTGCACCACATCTCAAGTTAAGCATGCCAGTCTAGGACCACTACCTCCAACTCCCTTAAATTAGTACTCCTATTCCACTGAGTCAATTTGGAACACTTGCCAAGTCCTGGACCAATTCAAGTCACCAGAGAATGCTATGCTTTTGTTGGCTTTGGCTAATCAGACCCATCCCTGGATCAGGGGATGGTGGAAGTGGATGTTGGGCACATTACTGTCAACTGTAGCTCTACATTCATTTTCATTATTTTTGCTCTATTCTTCCTCTGTTGAAGTTAGGTGGCAAAGCCCTGACTAAACCCAACCCCCCACCTGCTGGCAGTTCTGTTTCCCTAGTATATTTGCTTTCCCATTCCCTAAGACAACTATTTCAGTCATGCACTACATAATGTTTTGTCAATAGCAGACCACAGGCAATGATGGTCCCATAAGATCATAATGGAGCCGAGTTTTGTCTAAGAAATGGAAGGGTATGTGGCTCAGGATCTCTGATGGGATCACTATGTGTGTGCTTGGCAATAGATTCCATTTCTCACAACCTCAATTTTGAAAGCACAGATTACATCCCAGTGACCTGTTCAGCAGAGGAGCCTGTCCCCTCAGGCCTCCGAAATCTACATCTTCAGAGGACACTGCTGTAAATTCCTGGAGGACCTCAGATCCTGCACAAGGACACAGGCCCACAGGAGCTACCTCAAGTATGTACCACTGTCACTTCAGTAAGAGCTCTCTGCAGTAGTGTGGAGCCAGCCTGTCCCTCCCTTTACTTTGTAAAAATTTTTTTTTTTTGGTTATAATGATACTAGAGGCCTGATGCATGAAA